CTCTCTCTCTCTCTCTTTCTCTTTCTCTTTCTCCCGATTGACTACACTACATATTATTGTCAAGTCGACAGCATTTATAAATGTACTTCTTACATATCGTCGATTTAAAGTTATATTAAGATCAACTATAGCTTTGTGCAAAATTTACATTGTACATGCTGATGCATCTCCATTCCTCCGCATCAAATTTATACCTATAATTACATACTAATCAGCTCGTCCGCGGATATCATTTTAACATATCCTTCCCCTAATAATGAACAATCGTTCGTTATTGTCACGATTTCATTAATTATCCAGTTCTAATAATTATTGTCAGAATTTTTTTGGTTACTCCTGATCACGATTATTGTCAGAATTTTATGATTTTTCCACTTCTAATTATTATTGTCATCCTGATTATTAGATATTGTCAGCTCAATTTTATGTCGAAGAATATAGAAATTTTGCGTCCGTGTTCATACATGTATGTGTATGTATATATGTATATGTGTATATGTATATGTTATATATAACATATATCATATATATATATACATATATATGTATATATATATATATATATATATATATAATATGAAATATTGAATCTGATAAGTCTTAAAAATATTTTGCTAATCTCTTACCTTACAAGTAGATCTTACATACTAAATACTTTCTTACAACCTTGTATGGGTTTCGCCGATTTAACAATCCTGCGTATAGTGTAGTTTTTGTGATCATCTTAAATCGATCAGTTTTCGTCATCGTCTTTGTCTTCTGCTATTTCTTGTTCCGCGTTGAAAGGAGGAAATGCAATGATTCATCTTGTCAATAAAAGAAGCGCGATTATGGACATCACAAATGTCGTAAACGTAGGCGACATTTGACGTACACCGTTAATGTTGTTCTGTGATTGGTATCCCGCATCGACGACATGAATTTTCCAGCCCAAATGTTTGTGCGTGAAACACTATGTAAAAAGATGTCATATGATAAAAAAGTTGTAAAGAAAAATCTAAGAACTTTCAATAAAATCACCAAAGCAAATTTATATATTCGCAAGTATTCCGTCGATTTTTGAGTTTTTTCTTATAACTTCGTACCTGATAGTAAACTAAGTCCGGCGTGTTTTCGTCCACGGTCCATATGAGCTTGGCAGGCTCGCCCTTGTCACACTTGAGTTCGAGCGTTTCGAAAAAGCTCTTAAACGTTTTGTAATTATCTGCATTATCCACTGTAGTACGGACCCATTCGCAATAACGGCCAGCTGCAGTTGGTCTCATATATCCATTGGAATCAAATTCTACGCCAGCGAATACTTTTTCCGTCGATTGTTTGTCTATTTCCTTTTGTCCGAGACCACCCTCCGAACTCTCAGTTATATAGAATGGATGGTACCTATAAATACATGAACAATTCGCAACCATGTATTTAACAATATCATATTGAGAATATGAATATCTCGCACCACATACACGCAGTTTAAATGAAATACTATCGTGACTAAAAATATGACTCACCTAGCAGGATTAGTAGAATCTTTCCCACCCTCCACAATAAAGGTATAAGTTTGTCCTCGCTCGACGGTGATCTCCGGAATTAGCAAATCATTGATATACCATGCGATACCCCAAGAGGGTGAACCTAAATTGCAATAAAAATCATCGATTAAAGTGTCATTTTAAAAATGAGAAAAAGTTAGAGACAATTTTCAAATTATTACAATATTAATATTATTTAACATTATTGTCCTAAGTAACAGTAAAATAATTAATAAATGCATCTACAATGTTTCTTAATACAATAGATATTATTTTTATAATAAGATGCTATATTTTAATCAAGTTTTAATTAAATTTTATTTAATTTCATCAAATAATTTTGCGTACATGTAACATAACATTACGGTTTTATTTTTTTTAGTAAAGAATAATAAATTAAATATACTACATAATTTTATTACAATATGTCATAATTCATACCTGTGATTCGTGCATAGCCTTTTTTCGAACCTGTCGGCCCAATTCTTGCACTAAATTCAGTTTTATCGGTGATAACAGCCGGTACCCAAGGTTCGACTTCAGGCGCATCCGGAATATTATATAAGGAATTTGTACATTCGTGAACATTTCTTGACGTGAAATCAATACGAATATCCTCGGTGGTCTTATCGAATCTCTCATGAGCATTGGCCTCACCCAATGAGTTCAGAGGTCCTATGGCAGCGATCACGCTCGTTTCTCTTTCCGGAATCATCCTGTCCTTTTCTGGCTCGTTGGTCCTCAGCGGACGCGTATACGTAACTGCAATTAAAATAAATCGCACCACATCAGCGAGCATTTTTCTGTTACCTTCATGTACTTAATATATAAAAAACAATAAAAAATTATTCGTAAATTTTATTATACTATTATACTAACTATTTCACTAATATTAAATGTATATTTTATATCTTATAGTATAAGATTGTTTGTTTGAATTATACAAAAAATTATATAAGGTAAAATATGGCAATTAGCTGTACATTATTTCCTGTTCTTATATGTAGCTTCGTCATTTATAACCCAGACATACCTGTCGTCACGCCGTTTTTTCGTTCTCCGTGCACGAACACTGCGTCATTTCTACCACCAATCCTCCGATCCGGGCATACGCCCCTCCTGCCGTCGCACTGAGCTAGGGCTGTCATGTAGTAATCCTCGGCGATAAACTTGCCCGTTTTTTATTATATCCGATCACGACGACATCACCGCCAATCATCTGGGCCGTACCGTCCTGACCCGACAATCCGAATGCCACGTATTCGTCCTCCTTGATACGCCCCGAAATCCGAATCTGCACGTCCTCGCCTATCAATTGCCATTGCACTTGAACACGACCGTTCAGCATCTCCTTACAGTTGCTCACTTGCTTAGGTGTCGGTGTGCTGCTCGTCTGAAAAAGAAAAGATCGCTATCCTGTGACCTGTGACTTCGTCATGATGGATTGTTGTCCGGCAAAATCACTCACACACATCGCGATATATCGCGATATTATACTTACTGGATTGTACCACCACGGCGGCTGTTCCGTTTGAAAGTTAAGAGAAAATTAATATTATTAATAATGAGAATATTGTAACTCTGAATTTAGATGACAATGATTTAGCTATCAGGAAGACACAAAATGAGAGCTTTCTTAAAATAAAATCTACATACGATCTCAATTAGCTTTAAAAAGACTTATATGATTGCTTGAAAAATTGAAGCGAGAGTTATGTTAGTACAGATTCTAAAATATTAGCGGTTACGTTTATTTTATCATATAAACGCAAATGTCCCTCTTCCACAGTTCATTCAATACGTCTCCATTAAAGCGAAGCTTTTCATCATGTATATCAAAGAGCAAAGTCGCGTATATTATCATTTCATAGTGAACGTTAATGAGGATACATAAGGTACGAAAGTTTAGGGCATATCAGGTCGGCGGATTGGAGAACTCATTTTGGTTTACCGTAATTTTCGTCTGGCCGAGAGCTGGAGGAACGTCGAGGTCCTTTGGAATTAGAACATGCCCGAAATTGTGTCTGTATTCAACGCACCACACCGCGAGCCAGTTGATGTCGTACACTGTCAAGTTCCCTGGCAAGACGATCTCAATGTCCTCTCCTTGATATCCTCTTAATGGTGCCAAACTATCAAATTAAATGAGATTAATAACCATCTCACTATGTTGAATAAACTAAAGTACAAATCCAGAGCTTTTCTAAAATATCAAAACATATTTTGACTTTTCTAGTCAAATCTAATATAATGCTCTTTCTTTAACACACACACACACACACACACACACACACACACACACACACACACACACACACAACAACT